GAATGTATTTTGGCATAGTAGATTGATAGAGAATGTGTGGTTGAAAAAGAAAGAAAAGTTTTTTATTTTAGTGTAATATTTTTAATGAAAAATATGTGATTGAAAGAAGATAGAAAAAATGGAAATCGAACACCCCTTAATAGAGTTATTTAGCCCCATTTGAGCCTCATTCTTTTGAAAAAATACATTCTTAAACAGTGTTTTGACATCATTTTAATAACATTTTTCAATAAAATAATATAACACGCAAATTCAAAATTTTTCAAATTTTTTAACCACACATTTCTAATCAATATACTATTTAAAAATGCATTTTTCTCATAAAAAGAATGAGACTCAAATAAGGGCTTAATGTGATAAAATCGCATAATCAATGGGCCTCCAAAGCCGATAGAAGCCCATTAGAAAAGCTCATAACACAAATCAAATCGGGATCACAAAATGAATAGCCAAACTATAATTTACGCATAAATAGTATTGGATATAACAGAAAAAATAAAATAAATAAATCACTCTAATAATACCTTTTCTTAGCCATGTTTAAGATGGAACCATGATCACCAATCTTGACCTTACGTCATTTCTGAATTTGTGCCCTGATCCCCTCATTGTGTCTTGGAACACAAATCACTAGTTTATGCCTTCGCCAATCGAAAACTTTCCTTAGTGATTTCTTCCAACTCTGCAATGGTCGTCCTTCAAGAAGTGCCTCACTGCCAGCTTAGATCAAACAACAAATTAGTGTGTTCTAATAAAAAATAGCCGTTATTTATATCCACGATTGTTATATATTCATCCCACTTTATATCTATTCCTATTAAGATTTAAATTTTTTTCAAGGAATAACTATTGTCATCCATGTCACATTTTAATATTATCCTTATTAAATTTATTTATTTAAACACTATAGATCCATATAATTTTTATATATTCATCTAAGTCTCAATACATTCCTAATACGATTTCAAAATTTATAAACTCACTATATTCATCCCCGTTACATATAACATCAACCTTCTCACAATTTAATAATAATTCTACAAACCAAATATTATAAAATGAAATTATATGAACCAAAAACCCCTTTAATCACTGCTACTCTCAATGTGCATGGACTCCATACATAAAATTATATAATCCATTTTATGGAAAGTAAGCAGATTATTATTATTATTATTATTATTATTATTATTATTATTATTATTATTATTATTATTATTATTATTATTATTATTTTGAAAGTAGTAATTAACAGATTTTAAACTGTACATAATAGAATAAATTAAAATAAAAGTCAACTGAAGGTAAAGAACATAAGGAATTACACCATATAACAATTTATACATCTCTAATTGGGTCACCTCCACTAAAATTACCATTTCTATATCTCTAATCCTTTCATTTTATTCTCTATCTATTATTTACCTTCAATTGACTTTTATTTTAATTTATTTCATTATGTATAGTTTAAAATCTGTTAATTATTACTTCCAAAAAAAGAACTGCTAATTTTTCATAAAATGTGAAAATAGTTTATGATTATTAGAGTTTTAGTCAAACCCAAATTCTAAGAGAACATAAAAATTTCTGAAAGAATTTAATGAAAATAAATATAGTGGATGAATTTAGAATGATATATGTTTATTTAATTTTGTATATGTCCATTTAAGTAAACTTACAAAAGATTAAAAAATATAATATAGTTATCCTTTTAAAGGTGGATATATATATTGTGAATGTAAATAGCGGTTATCTAACCAAAAAAAAAAAAAAAAATCAAAAAAACAAAAAACAAAAAAAACCAAAAAATAAAATAAAATAAAATAAAAAAAACTTACAAGAGCCTTAATTTCAGCAACTAAAATTCAATTGAGACCAAAATTGATTTTGACACAAAGCTTAGACATTTTAAGCACCAATGATATGTGTATGAATTTATGTAGACACTTCTAAAAAATCAAATGGGTGTATTTTATTTAGGATTTTTTTAGAGATTTTTATAAGGATTTAAAAAGTTTAGTGTTATTCAATATAAACTTTTTAAATCCATCTAAAAGTATTGGCACATTCAATTGAAATTTTTATAAACTTCTTAAAAGTTACGATATATTCAATTAAATTTTTTTAAAAGTCTATAAATCACGAAGTATTCAAATTGTCAATAACTTTTAAAAACTTTTATAAAAGTCTTACAGTACAAACTTTTAAGTAGGAAGTAAAAAAATAAAATTTTAAAATTTGTCTCTTATTAACCTCAAACTTTTTGGAGATTTTTACAATAGAATTTTTTAATATATATATCTATATATATTTTTTATTATTTTTTTTCAATATTTCTCGTTGCTCTTTCTTATACACATTATTAAAAAAATTCTATTCCAAGTCCTTCAACGACTATTTCATTGTCGATTACTAAAAACTTACCTTCAGCCACCAATAGTTAATTCTTCTAACCAAACAAATTCTTTTTGAAATCATTTGGCGACCAAATCATTATTGATTGCAAAAATTACCTTCAGCAACCAATTGATGGGTTGCTAGTTAATTCTTCAAAAAAATCACTCATCAAGAAAATTTCAAACGAAATCCTTCAGTGAGCGACCAAATCTTTGTTGGTTGCAACCAATAATTGGTTGAAATTGGTTGCTAATTCATGTGGTACTAGGATATTTATCTGCCTTAAGCGACCATTCAGTGGTCGTTGGTGTTAACATTCAACAATCAATATCAAATGGTTGCTGGAACACATGACAAAATATATCCAGAGCATTTTTTTTGCCTGTCCCTTGATATTTTCTACCTTCAATGACCATTCAGTGGTTGATGGTGTGAACTCTAGCAATCAATTTCAAATGGTTATATATATATATATATATATATATGTATAGCAACCATTCATCAACATACCTTTAAATACACTTTAAATTGATTATAATTATTTCTTGTAGATTTTTTTTTTACTTATTATACAAAGTGACCATGAACTGCTGTCTAAATCTTTGAGTTCCATGAAATATTTGGATTAAAAATTATTTGATCGATTATAAATAATTGGATATACAACACAAATCCCTACCTATTGGGCATGCTGCAG